GTTTAGTAAAAAATAATTATTAATCATCAAGAAAAATCTTGTGAAATAATTCCAAAATTTTTTGCTCACCACTGTATTTATGCATATACATGTATTTATCATTTAATTAAATTTTATTCCTATATATTTTTATATGGAGAATAAATGATGGATCATTGACTTTCATGTTGTCATTTCATTTATTGTTCTCAGTTTATTCACCTTTTTATCTAAATTTTACTAACATATCTTAAATAGTTATAAATTATCATAAATTAAGGTTTGTACTTCGGGATATATGTAGTTGATTATGCACGCATCTGTTTAATACTAATATCATAGCCATGACAAAATAAAGTAGTTATCATGTGATTTTTTAAAGATTAATGTATGAAATCATTTTGTCATGTTCTAGCAAATATTCCTTGTGTGGTATCATCTTAATTCTGACTCTAATCCACCTAACCGTAATCGAATTGTTATGAATATTCCATATCTTACGATTTGATTGGTTTACCCCTTAAAAACTTTGCCACTTGTCTTTTACCATGGCTAGACTATTAGGGAATTTTAAATAATGAATTCTACGGTTATTTTGTTAATCGCATTTACAAATTGATGTCGCTATTCCTATACTCAGAAGTTATTAAAAGAGCGTTTTATTATTAATTTATCTTCTTATAATATTTCTAATATATCTTTCACAAAAAACATTTCAGTGATTACCTCCTTATAAAAAGAAATGAATTATCCTTTTATACAATTCATCCCTTTCATCACCGTTCTATTTTCCTCAGCATCATTCCCTTCAATCTCATCATTCTCTTTAATCCGGAGTTGAACAAGTGACCATTTGGCCAGAGTTAGTCAAATGGCCAAGAAAATGGTTTGACCATAGACAAATTTCTAAATTTAATTAATACTGAATTAACAATTGGCCATTTGTTCAGAGTTGGCCATGGCCATTATGCTAATTGATGACAGAGACAATGAATTTATGTGGCAATAAATTATCAATTATGCATACAATAAAAGTAAATTATGAGCTTTAATGTATATAATTTTATAAATATATGCCAATTCTGCATTAAAAAAAATACATAAAGATATTTTAGTGATTCAAATGATTTTGACGATCACGATACGTACATGTATTTAAAAGAGACACATGATATTTTCTTATTAGCATTTGGTTAGAATTTTGATTAGGAATGAGCTAATATTGCATCACACGTACAAAATTATAGTAAATTTCGCAAGTAACTTTTTGTTCGAGACAGAAAGTTTCATAAGCAAAATTTCATATCAAACGTTCGTTTCATTACACATTGATCTTAAAATCACATGATCAATCACTGAATTGGTATTAATTTATTTAACTAATCCTTTATTTTATCCTTTATCTAGATAGCAAGAAATCAACGATTTTTTATGTTACATTTTAATTTTACTTTGATATTAATTTATTTAACTAATCCTTTATAAGATGGTAAAAATTAACGAAATTTATTTTACATTTTCATTTTGAATTTATTTGATATTAATTTATTTAACTAACCCATTATTCTATCCGTTTTTTAGAGAGTAAAAAATCAACGATTTTATTGAGTATTTTAGATAGGAAATCGGCTATTTAAATTTGATTTTTTGAATTTATTATTATTTTTGTTATACTTTTTATTTAGATACAAGTTTTACTATAGTTAGTACAATTTCTTACATTTGTCTAATAAAGGTCATAGGTAGGAAATGATAGACCTGCTTCTTTTTTATTTATTTATTTATCCTTCTATTTATTTATATATAGGTTTCGACACTATAAAGTTTATGGAATAACACACAATCATTTAAATGGAGAATACTTTTAATTCTCCCTGCTGTCGGCCTTGGCGATTCGCGATGTTGTCTACGAATGCAATTCACCGGAATAACATGGAATTATCGCATAAAAGTACTATATGGTATTTGTATTCAACTTCAGTTTATTCATTCAAAAGTTACTATATATGGTGACCTGCATCCTGGAAACATTCTTCGATTAAGTAAGGATGTTACTACAATCCGTGATTTTGGTTTGCAACCAGACAAAATTCCCACTATGGAAAAAGGTCAAATATTTGCTGTGATGCCATTCGCTGCACCAGAGATTTTCCGAGGAGAGGCATTCAGCTTGTCATCGGATGTCTATGCATTGGGAATGGTCATGTAGGAGTGGTATGTTGGTAAGCCGCCATTCAGTAAACGTCCTTTCGATATTAATTTAGCTTTTGATATATGTGATGGATTGAGTCCAGAATTACCTGGCTTTTACCTTAACTTTATTGTACGTTGTTGGCATCAAAATCCCTCACAAAGATCAAATTCCAAAAAGATGTGCAAAATTGGTATCGAGGCGAAACCACAGAAACGGAAAACAACAAATAGAGGCCGCTGAGGAGTTAAATATTGTAAATGCATCAAAATATGATTCCGAAGAAAGTTACACGACGCATCTCTTGGCTGTTTACACGAGTAAACTTTTGCCGAAGGTGGAACAGGGAGGTTGGTATTTTTCAATAATGTTTGTAGAATCTATTTCTAATAAATATTAATCACAATTCCAACTGACATAGGTAACATTTTATTTCTAAAATATTGATTTTCGAATATTTGGTTCTACAAGTGATAGCTTGTATTGTATGTTCCAAATGAAGGTGGAGCACCATACATCATATTGTTTTTATTAAAATTTTAATTTATTAAAATATTTGGTTGCATGTACATATGGAATATGTAACTACAGAACTTGATATAGATATCGATACCAAACGTCAGTTATTTATCTCTAACGAATCAAATGAAGGTAAATTATCACAAGTTTATACAAATATTTAGGCTCTGGATTGCACACTCCGAACGAAGGTAAATTTATATTAGATATTATTATTATCCTATAAATTTAATTAATTCATTAATCCAAAGCAAAAAAAAATGATTAAAAAGCTTTAGAAATATATTCTGACTCATTAAAGAAATTGGTAACTGTTTTTTTTTGCATGTTGACTAACGGGCTTTGTTACTTTGTTTATCACCTCTTCGTAGAACAACAGGGCCATGTAACATTATGTAAAGATGTAATAAACCAGTAGCCCTTCATTACTTTTTTCACAAACCCTTTGTATTTTGGAGAGATATTTCAAAAAGTGCTAAGTGAAAAATTTAATCAAGGTTCCTCGTTTAATTCCATAATTTTTTTGGAAATAGAACTTTTTCCTAGAGAAAAGATAGCTAAAAAAAATCTCTTATCGTCAGGAAAAAGGAAAAAATACTCATTTGAAAAGAAGAGTTATTGTCTCTGATTAATTTCGAGCTTTGTTGAAGAAAAAAATTAAAAAACTAAAAAAGCACAATCGGTAGTTAATTTGATTGCGGAGCAGTTAGAAAAGCGGCTTTTTTCTGGCATGATATTAAGAAACACATTGGGTAAGTGAAAACATGTTAAAAAGCAAAGAAAAGATTGAGAAAATCATTTAGCCAAAAATTACAAGATAAACAATTACGGAAAACTGGTTAAGATAGTTTAAAGCATCAAGAGTTGTACCAACGATTCATTAAAGATCCTGCATAAAATATTTTTATATGAAACTTCATAACACAAAAACAATTTTAATTAAGAATATTAAGAATATAGTAAAGGTTTTTTACAGCCTGAATTATCTTTATAGAAACTATAATTTAACCTAAAAGAATAATGCATCGTTTTTATCCAGGAATCAACGACTATTTTCAAAATTTATTAACAAAATCCTAAATCTTTGCCGGGTTTGGATAAGAATTACTGATTCATATTCTGATCTTTTGAATTTGGACTTACATTCCTCAAAGTCAGGGAAAGGTTGCAAATTTAGTCGGTAGGAATTCAGAATTTATAGAAATTCCAAAAATGTATCTGAATAAACTGAAAGGATTTTTATTGGGTAACTAATCTTTTTTAGCCTCAATAGTTGAATTGTATCCATAAACTACTTGAACAATTCCCTTTGCTGTAAAATTAACATCAGTTGAATCTTTTTTATAGACAGTAATTTGTGATGGATCGATTGAGGAAACATTATTAACAATTTCTTGGACAGCTTTAAACATTAAATAATGATCTAATATTTTACCTTGAAACCAAAGAGCAGCACACCCTGAAATCTTAAGCGAAGCATTAAAACCTGTACAAAACGTCACCTTCCGAACTAGAGAATAAAATTTGCGTCTTTGATGAGGAGGTATTGTATAGGTTGCAGAACTTTTCGCTATCACTTGACTCAGTGTGGGATTGATCTAGAGTTGTCTGAAAATTGACTTCCTGAGTTATCGTGTCTTCTATTCCTAAACTGATTATATCTCCTAAATTAAGGTTGAGATTGTATGATTCGGCTTGCTTGAACGCCGTAAGGATGGTAAAAGTTTTGTCATTTGCAACCGAATACTTGAGAACTGGAGTGCTTGTTAAAGTTTCGTTTACTAAATTTTTTTTCAAAACTATTTTATATAAACATCTAATCTATCACATTTAATGCAAAATTTACAAAATTTTATTAAGCTAATATATCTTCTGTTATTAGAAAACATGTTTATAATATTCTAAAGAATATATTTACAAATTTTTATAAGTTTTAAATACTTTATTATTAAAATCTAGATAAAAATATTACATATTACCACTCTATCAGAAATTAAATATTTATTTTATAAAATAAATATTTTAAATACATATAATTAATATGAATTTATAATCTTTATACAAAAATATAAGAAATTTTAAATATTTTATAATATTATATATTTAACAATATTAATAACTTTTAATACTTATATATATTTACTATTTATATTTGTATATATATAATTAAAATCTTTTATAATTACAGTACAGTCAGCATGAAAAGTAATGGCTATTATTAATTTAGATAATTAATATTTTTAATTAAAATTCTTTTTCATTCATTTATTATTATATTTATATTATTATTTATATTATTATTAATTTATTAGATTATGATTAGTTATTCTTCAGAAATGTGAATTAAATTAATTAATTTATTTAATTATATATATTTTAAAAATAAAATTATTATTAATTTATTTATCTTTTGTATTTATTACTTTTTATTATAAATAAGATCTATCTGTTCTGTAATTATTCTTCAGATCTAAATATCATTCAAATAATAAAATTATAAGTTTATAAATTGAAACTATTTATATCATATTTTATTTTATTTACAACTATTTATAAAATAATCTTACATATTATAATAAAAGAAAAAATAAAATGATAAAAAATTCTTTTTATAGTTGCTATTCTTCTTGAATATATTATTAAAAGATATTATTATAAGTTATTTAAATTATTATAATTATGCTTATAGAATTTTTTTTATTATATATATATATATTAATTTATTAATTATATATTATTTTCTTATTAAAGATTTAATATACTTAAATATATAATAATTAATTATATATTTCTAAAAGATATCTAATAGTTTTTAGCTAAAAGTAATATATAATTAAAATTTACTAAATATATTAATATATAAATATAGTTAATTTATTTTAATTAAATTTTTTATTATTTTATAATAAAATAAATTTTAATACATATCCTTATAGTATATTATCAGAAATTGATTATGTAAAATGCTGATTCAAAGTTTAAAAAGCCAATTTTATTGGTATTATATATAAGAATATAAATGTAATAATAAACAAAAAACAATTTCATTTTTTCTTTTTTTTATAAGAAAGAAGTTGATAAATAAATAAAGGAAGTAAATAATTGATACTTATTTTACTATATCAAAGGTCTAAACCTTGCACTTAAATTCAATATTCCTCAAGTAATAGTATATGATACTATCAAATGATATAAAGAAATAAATTTTTCATATTTTGAAAAATATTCTGATCAGCCAAAAACTCTAATTAATAATGAAAAGTATATATTAAAATAAGTTATTCTAAAAAATCTGTTTTCTTTACTTGGTGAAATCATAAATAAACTAAATAACAAACTCAATACTACTTACTATACTAATATCATCTGCAAATATATGGATAAAATAGGATTTGAAAACTATACTCCAAGAAAAAAATCTCTTTTGATGCCAAATCAAGAACTTTATTAATTAAATTAGTATCAGAAGAAATTGATTGAGAAGTATAATAAAAAAATATAATCTGGTCTGACAAGTTCAAATTTGTACTTTTTAAATCAGATAGCCAGATAAAAGTATGATGGAAACCTGATGAAGCTTATTATTAAAAATATATTAAATCTACTATCAAATTTGATAGAGAATTAGTAATATTTTGGGGATATTTTGGTTAGAATGGGATTAATCCTTTGATACCAATAGAAAAAATCATAAATTTAGATATTTATAATTAATATTCTTACTAATTATTTTATATCCTGGACTCATCAATATCCATATATTACATTTTAACAAGATGATATATTATATCATACCTTGATATATATAACTTGATAGATATTAGCATATAATATTTAACTTTTGGATTGGATTAATCAAAGTTCTAATTCCAATCTGATTAAACATCTGTAGAATATTTTGGACTGTCAGATTTGAAAAAAAAGACTGTTATCTATATCAAAGCAAGAATTAATTTATATATTACAAAAAAAATGGATGAATATTGATTTGGAAACTTTGTATAGATTAATTTTGAGCCTATCTAGATATATAAATAAAGTAATAGCAAAAGCATGTTATATTAATTTATAGATTCTTTAAATTTGAATCAATATAACTATATATTTACCATTTTATTTTTCTTTAATTTATCATATATTTAATAAATATTGTTATAGTGAATCAGTAAGTGAGTTTTTACTTTGATTCACCCTAATGATATAGGGTTAGGAGAGACTAAAATAATAAAAGATAATGAGAGGAGAATTAGATTATAACTTTCAATAATGACAAAGATTTCTAAGATCTGTGCCAATATCTATGGATATTGTCTCAATAAAGAGTAATAAAATAAAGAAAAAATAAAATAAATCCAGAAAATTATAAAGATTGACTGAGTAAAGCCACTAGTAATCAATATAATTCAAGATTTAAACTGATTAAATAGTATAAACTATTAATCAAAGAAGACTATAAC